AGAAACAGCAGAACTATTCCTACAAAGACACATCTAAAAAACCATAAATCGCCAGAGTTCACTCAATCTTATCCTAAAATAAGACCGAGAAATCACCCTAAACAGCAAAGTAACGCCTCAAAAACCAACTATAATCTTAGAAACCCACACGCCATTTCCAAAATTACACTCAGTAACCGACTTGTCACCTCACATATACTAGGAAACCGTCACAAGAAAGATACTCGCTTTTGTTTACGTCGTCTTAACAAAAATTCCCGTTAATCTACAGCAGATTGACGGGAATTGAGTACTGCTGACAGTTACAGACTACTCGTTTAACATCTATTTATAGCTGGAAAAGTAACCGCCGCGCCAGCAGCTAGTCAGTATCTTTCAGTTTTGTTAGAACTCAGCAGTCACCCATAAAGTAATTTACATAAATTACCCGTTCTAAGTGCGAGAATTTATTTTACTAAGTGCGAATAGTGCCTAAGTTCGTATTTTATGGACTAAGTGCGGTATTTTATCATTAAGTTCGCGTTAGAGGACCCCCCAAAATGAACATTTTCTTGCGTCTTGGGAAGAGTATTGTAGAGTGCCCCGTAAAACTTTGTGGTGTTAAGTATGATACTAAAACACACTAACTGCCCTAAGGATTCACGTCGATTTCATTCTAGGAGTCGAGATATGTTATTTTAAGTTTTTGGGATGTCATGGATGCAAATCGTTTGCTACAGGCTCAAGAACGCACTTTTTGTATACCATGTTATTTTAAGAAAATGTCCGTTTCGATGCGCTCTTCAAAAATGTTCGACTTGCGAACCATGATTTTCTGCGTCTGTGCCACGTAATTCAGCAAAAAGAGCATGTAATGGAGTGAAATGAGAGGGTGTGTCATCTCTAAAGTAAAATCTTTAAAAGAGCATAACTTAAGAACGGCTGGGAATAGGTGGCCGTTCTTTTTACCATCATGTGCGCCTAAAAAAAGTACACTATCGTGACAATCGATATCGGTCGATATGGTATAAATTGATAAAGTTATGCTCGATTATGTACGCGAAAACAGAAAAAGGGCGCTGGTGACAAAAAAAGTACTAACGATTCTGTTATTGTTTTGATATTCTGTCATCCCAGACTCTTGCGCATCTGGTGACCTATTTTTTATTCGCCAGTTCCGAGAAAAGTGTCGTTTCGATGCGTGGTGGGCCCGGGATGACAATTCGAGTTGAGTTGGAAGTTCATGTGAAGTCCTGGAAACAAGAAAAAAAGAAGATCCACGCTTCCCTAACTCAAAAAGTCATTAGAAACCGAGGGTAGCTTGTATGGAGACTTTTGTTCCTCGTGCGCTAAAACGCCGAATTAAATTTTTTATCTATACTTAACAGGAAAAAAGTTGCCTCCTTCGCGATATATAGGCAAATAAAGAATGGGTGCTATCATTTCGGGACAAAACAGGTGAAAATTTAGGTCGAAAAAAGTGTTTATAGACAAGGCATTTGAATTTAGCCAAAATCTGACTTGACCACGGGAATGCGCGCATAAAAGCACCCCTAGGGCAGTTTTTATACGGAGCAGTCTCATTTGCTTCCTGGATGTGCAGGGCCAAACATGGCCAAAAGTGGTGATTTTGGCCGTCCAAGGTGTCCATTTTCCGCGAAAATGGCGTTTTTTGGCGTCACTAAAAAAATCATTGCGAAGCAACTACTGGAGATATGCTTGTAAAACTTTGGGAGCGGTCGTGCGAACACATGCGCCAAGTTTTCTGCTAAAGTCTGCAGGCCAGATCTGCCGGGCGGCACATAAAACCGGAAAAAACCACCTAAAAAAAGAGCATGCCAAACAAAGTCTCACATTTCGCTGAATAACTTTTGATCTAGAAGAGTTAGACAAATTCTGATTGCGGGAACGGCTCCGCCGTGTGTTTTTACATATGTCTATGTCCCGTAGATAAAAAGTACATGTTGCAAAAAAAGTACATGTTGTACATAAATCTACCTTTGATATTCGGATTCCCCGTGAAAAACTACGCCTAGGCCGCAGGGTTACAAAGACGAGTCATTGCACTTTATGCCCTTTTATAGACGCTTTTAGAAATCGGCCCAAAACAGTATTTATTTAATTTAGACAGTGTTCCGCTGACATGTCGCATGCTGCGATATGTCCACGTGAAAGAGCACCGAAAAGCACCCCTAGAACACCCTTCATACCCGTTCTAACGGTTCTCTTTCATCTTCATAATAATCAAATTAAAGAACACCATACAAAAAACAAGATCTCGTGTGTAGTGGCTCGCCAGGCATACTAAAACCAAGATGTCGTGTGGGCACATGCCAGACATCATATCTTGCGTTTGCAAACACACGCAAAGTCGGTAAACAGCTCAAAACGGGCTAAAAAGTAGACAGCACCCGGACTTCCCCGCGTCCGCGCTCTACACCGACCCGAGTACTACCCGAGCTTGAGGCTGCTTAACTCTCACAGAGCAGACGGGATATGGTGTCTTTCAGCCTAAGATGGC